TACCCCAGTAAAATTAGGAAAAATATTCAACTTAAAGACAGGGTTTTCAAAGCAAGGTCTGATCATTCACAAGAATTATCTAGGGTATTTGTTTAAAATGCACATCTCAGTCCCCATTCCAGACCTACAGAACCTGATGCGAACAAACATTTTAAGTAGACTCTCCAGGTGATTACCAGGCATATACTGAGAACCATTGCTTAAGGCCCAGCTCAAATACTACCTCCTCTGTGACACCTGTACTGATGGAACTGATGACACAACTCCCAGAACCCCATCTCACGAATGGCACGTACGTCACCATGCTCTAATTATATTGTCTCATCTTCCCTACTACACTCGACATTTTATAGGGAAATGTCACATCTTACAGTTTTGGGGTCTTCCTCTTGGCTAGCACAGTGCCTTACACATAAAAGATGCTGAGCAGCTGAATGGCAAGTCGGCTTGTATATAATAATATGCCTGGTATAGGCACACATCTTGGTTGATGCCATCTCAAAGTTCACCAACTTAGATTAATAACAGTGAATGTCACAAGTGTGTGTAGAGCCTGCAGAGATCGGCCACCAATAAGAGTAACAGCCTGGAAATAGATTTTCACTCACACAGGAAAAATAGCATTAGGTATGCCACCCAGACATCCAAGCAAAGTGCAGAAAGTACACAACTCCAGCATTCCATCCTGAATGTAGTAACCAGAACAAGGCCTTGGTAAAATCTTCTCTAATCTCTCCATCCTCCCCATTCTGCCCGCTGTACCTCTGTTACAAATACTTACCACACAGTATTGTACTCACTTATCTGCATGTCTTTGTATACTTTGTATACTGTGCTATTCCCAAAGGCAAAGAAAAGGCTTATTTCGCTTTTCTACAGCCTTACAAAGAATTCAAGAAAAATGTGACAGACAAATCAACAACAACAAAGAATGACTGTTAAAACTGGAAACTGTTCATGTACATATTTACAAGGTTTTTCCCAAAAGAGTCCACTTTTAAATTTGCACAAAAGGTAAGGAAAGAGATTCCGTTTTTTTAAAAGTTATTTTCCACTACAGGGCTTTTTCTATCCCCTGGCCTATGTGCAATCTTCTAAATTTCACAGGGGCTCAATAAATGGTAAATTCCTTTCTGGCATGATCATGGCCTACTGTCACCCCTGGTGATGGTTTGAGATGTTTGTGCTCCATATATTACCTGAAAAGACATTAGCAGCCTGAGTCAGCCCACCGGGAAATAAGAGTGTAGTGTTCGGGGACGTGACTCAGTCCTGCCCTCAAAACATCTCCTCCAGGAAAAAAAAATCAAATCATCCTGACAACAGTCACCACCCACATCACAATTACTAAATCTAAGAAGTCTGAAAGGAAGGGTGAAGACACTATAAATTAAAGAAGAAGAAATAAAGTAAAATTCTATAAGCCATGTGGAAGAGCCTTATCTTATTCCAGGAAAAAAAAAACAAAAAGACTATATCAATGCCATAGTCAACTTAAATGTGTAATAAAGTGTTTTCGCTGACTACTCATATTAGCAATCTTATTTCACTCTTTTAATTAAATGCCCTCCGGGGCACCTGGGTGGCTCAGTCATTAAGCATCTGCCTTCGGCTCAGGTCATGATCTCCAGGTCCTGGGATCAAGCCCCGCATTGGGCTCCCTGCTCAGCGGGAAGCCTGCTTCTCCCTCTCCCACTCCCCCTGCTTGTGTTCCGTCTCTCTCTGTGTCTCTCTCTGTCAAATAAATAAATAAAATCTTTTTTAAAAAAAATTAAATGCCTTCTATCACAGGTGACAACACACATGATGGCCGGGCCCTTCTATAGGCGTAACGAATAAAACAGAACAAAGAGAGCTCTGTTTGCTGTCGTTTGTTTCATTTGGTTTCATTTCTTCATTCTGTGTTAGACACAATCATTTAATTGAAATGGGTTTCTAGCCACTTCAAAATCACACAATTTACTATTTGGTTATAGCACAGCATGGTACCTTTCCCAGGCTCTGTAAATGGGGATGACACCAGCATCTACCTCAGAGCCTTGTTCTCAAAGCTAAATGGAAGAAAGCTTCTAGAGCCTTCAATGAGGTGATGGCCCACAGGAAGGGCTCAAGTGTGGCAGCTAGTATCATGGTCCCATCACGGCTTCTTTGGTTTCCAGTTACCTCAGCACTTACCTGCACCTCTATGAGACCTTTAAAGAAGGAGATCTACAGCCACCAATTTCAGTGTTTCTTGGAAGTTCTTTTTTTTTTTTTTTTTTTTTTTTAAGTAGGCTCCATGCCCAGCGTGGAGCCCAATGCGGGGCTTTAACTCAAGACCCTGAGATCAAGACCTGAGCTGAGATCAAGAGTCAGCTGCTTAACCCACTGAACCACCCAGGGGCCCCTGGAAGTTGCATTTTACCAGGCAGGGGAGGGGAGGGGGAGATGGGAGGGAAGGAAATGTCGGAGAAGAGATGGAAGGAATGACAAAACAGAACTAGAGGGATGAGGTGTGCACAGTCTGCCTTTCTCAAGGCCACAGGAACTCAGAAAACAGAAAATCAGCTGTTCTTACAAATAATGCCTGTGCTTAGTGATTGCCAGGCACATATTTAAAAAATTTTTAACTCCAGATGTCAAAACACATCCGAGTCTGAGAACACAGAGCAGAACTCTGTCACAATAACTTCAAGTTCAAATAGCAAAGCACACACAGAATTTCTTTTACAAAATCATCTCTTCCTCCTTTTCTTGTCTCCCTCTCTTGCAAGATATTTAATTTAAATTTTATCTGTACAATTTCCCACCAACTTAAATCACATTCTATCACGAGTATGAACCTCTCGAACGTATCTGTATCTTAGATGCCCTAGTTTGGTTTTGTTTAATTTTTTTTTTCTTTCACTTTGTCATTTCCTTCAAGAGTACTTGACACGGCTAACCGTGTAACAGCAGTCTCACTAATGAGCAATAATGACTTGGAAACCTTTTTCAGTTAACTGTATTTGGCCAATTACTGTATGAATAAACACCATAAAAACCCATCAAGGATACTGGAAAAGATACAAGGAAGCACAATTCCCAGTGACAACTGATATGTAAGCTGATCATCCTGACCAGCTTGCTCAATTCTGGCCCCTGACAACACACACTCCTGGGGGGACACCTGGGATTCCTTGAACTCTTCTAAGAAACAAATCAAACAAAAACACCACAGAAGTATTTGGAACTAGCTCCTACTCAGGAAGAGATTAAATCTTACATGATCGCTTCCAATATTTTGTGTTTTCTACTAGGATGTATATACGCCTATTAGGCTGATTGTCCTGTTGTCTCTTACTATTCTTAATTTTCTTTTTCCTTCTAAAATCACTCAAACCAGAATCATGGATACTAAGATGACTAAGATCAAAGAGATAATCAAGTTCCAGTTAGTTAGAAATCATTCCTGTGATAGGTGGGACAGCCTCTGTTTAAATATTTTCTTTTTAAGGGGACTCTCTGTTGATAAATGGTTCTAACCATTGGGAAAAAAAAATTAAAAACAACATCAGCAATTAATTTTAGTCCAGATTTACTATGTGCCAGACCCTGTGCTAATAGGCATGTTACATGTATCACCTCAATTAATCCTCATAATGGAACTTTGAGGGAGGTATCATTGCATCCATTTTAACTATGAGAAAGACTCACAGGGGTTACGCCACTTGCCCAAAGACACACAGCTGTCAACTGACAGAAAACCTAAGACAGATACCCAGGCCCAAGCCTCACAACTTTTATTCACAGTCCCTAATAATGCAACCTCTCTGTCCCTCTTCTCTAGGTCAGATCTTCAAATATGTGAAAACCATCCAAGAAGCATCTGGCACTGCGCTATGCTTTCCCCCAGGCTTCCTTGGCAGAATGGAGAGGAGTCTGTGAGCTGAGTCCAGGCTCCTGCAGACAGAGGTTACCTATGAGGAAGAAGGGAAAGCCAGGCCTCTGGTCTCACAAATCTTGCACTTCCCTGCACCTCATCTCTTCTGTCTCACTCCATCCTTAATCTCCAATCCCATGACCTTACCCGCAGTCTCTCCACATTTCTTAGTCACCCAGAGCGCCTGCTCTTCTCCATTCTGCTGCACGAGGCCCTGTGACCAGCGCTGAACCAGAGCCACTGCCCTCCATGGCCAGAGAGCAAATGTCTTACTATGGGAAGTGGGGAGGGACGCAGGGCAATCCACATCAGCTCCCCTCCCCTTACTGCTTATGCAGTGAGTTTCTGCTGAAACACCCAATCCTGACCGCCTTCCCAGGGAGAATTTATACTCTGAAAGAATATTTTTTTAATTACATTCAGATAGTGATTTAAAAAAAAAAGACAGCTCTGAAATTAAGTTCAGAAATACTCATTTTTATTAAGCAATGGTCCTGCAGAGAAGAGCTGTAAAGATCTTTCTCAAGTACCTGCAGATACAGGTAGGATTTAATGAGAGGCCTCATTTTCCCACTTAACCTCAGTCAGGTGGCACTGCCAACACCGAGGGCAGCAAACAACACAACTTTATAGGTCTGAGTATTTTTATATTGTATTTTGTTGTATTTTCGGAAATATCTTGAATTTGGGGCACTATTATGATGAAATAAGAACAAAAAAGGATTATACATTGGCCTTGTTCTTAAATAGTTTGGAAGACAAACTGCACTCAGGTGATATGTGTCAAATGCCTATGGGCAATTGCAAAGCAACATATCAACAAATTTGAAATTAGGAAGTACAAGTCCAACACTTAAATGTTAACAAGGAAGATCTCCAAACACAAGAAGTCTTTACAAAATTAGATGTGAGAAATTAAGTTCTTCCAGAGTTAAGTGTCAGAGATAAATCTGGAGGGCAATAGGAGGAGAGAAAGATGGTGAGGCGATCCCCACACGGGTATGTAAATGCATATGAAAATGAGTATGCAAACGAAGTTAAAGGAGAAGAAAGTCTTTTTTAAGAGAGCCTATAAATAAAACGTTGGATTCTTTTCTACCTGAATTTACCAGTTGCTGTTCCATCACCCCGCAGCCAAGCACTTCTAGCCATTCTCCGTGGAAGTTGATCTCCATCTCAAAGGAAGGATGAGTAAAAGGAAAGTAGCAGTCTACCCATCTAATGTCCAGTCCTGAAAAGATGCCAAATAAAAACAGATAGTGTTAAAAGGCAGTCTATCCTTCCTTATGATCAAGCTTGCCCTTCCGCTAATGACAACAATTACCACATTCTGAGTAAAATAAATAGCAAAAAACTCATTTGCAACACGTTGGGGGAGGCAATAAATCTTAAAACTTGTGAAAAACTGGGCATGTCTTTTTCAATATGAAAAACACTTTGTGCAGCTCCAGGACCCTCTAAAACCAAATCAATCACTTGTCAAATTCCTGCAAACACCTGGCAGAAGGAAAAAATTAGGTCAAGATCATGGGAAAGCAGGTGATTCTATTAGTTCTATAAGTGAAAATGATAATTTTTCAGAGTTAAAGAAAAAGGAGTTTTACTATATATGCTGCAAACTTACTTATCAACAATATGACCAATATAGGACACACTACGCAACTTTTACTTCCATAAATATATATATATTTTTAATTAAGTTTATAAGAACAAATAAAAAACTAAATAAGATCAGCTAAATGTAAGCAAAACATCTAGAAAGTCAATTTTTTTTCTACAGAGGAATGACAAATATTCACACATCTAAACAAACAAGTAAATGCTAGAATGAATTTCTCAATAAGCGATCTTGAACATGGCACTCATAAACAATATTATTATTAATTAACAAAGGAAAAGACTAATGAATTAAAAACAATTAAAGCCTGCAAAGAGCAGACATTACTAACAGCAGAAAAAGCAGATGCGAAGGTCACGTGGTAGCTAGATACCCACCATGAGGAACACAGAAAAGTGGGCAGCTGACGAATCATCTACGGTCTCCTGCCCTGGCTCCCTTCACTTTGTGTAATGATCTTTCTCTTCTTTAAGCAACGCTCCTGATTCCATTTCTCCATGGTAACATGACCCCCTACGAATTGAAAATACTGTCTTTTCTCACCCAAGACTAACTGCATTTTAAACCTTGTGGGAATCAGAATGTGAAATGAAAAAAATAATAATAACAAAAATTACTTCCATTTACTGAGGACTCTGTCAGCCCACTTCATAGGTATGGTAAAAGATGAAGAGATAGGTCAAGTGTCCTGCTCAGAGGCACAGAGCTAGCAGATGACTAGGCCAAACCCAGGTCGGCCCGACTCCAAAACTCCCTCTCTTGACAATTAAAATATAATTCCTGCCCATCAAAGAAGATATTTCAAGAATCAAAAAGCACATGAGAACGGAGGCGCCTGGGTGGCTCAGTTGTTAAGCGTCTGCCTTCACTCAGGTCATGATCCCAGAGTCCTGGGATCGAGCCCCACGTCCAGCTCCCTGCTCAGTGGGAAGCCTGCTTCTCCTTTTCCCACGCCCCCTGCTTGTGTTCCCTCTCTCGCTGTCTCTCTCTCTCTCTGTCAAAAAATAAATAAAATCTTATAAAAAAAAAAAAGCACACGAGAACAGAATTATGAAACATAGGGACCTTCCCTATGCCCCAGATGACAAAGGACAAGGTAGGCTTTTCTTTCATTGTTCTAAGAACATTTTAGTTGCCTTACTTTCCTACTTACCTGCTGTCTATAGCAAGTGACAACTGATTTCTGTTACACCAGTAATACCATATTTCCCCCTCTTGTTATACATGTGCTGTAACAGACAAATGTTACACTGAACATACAGTGCACAATGTGACAAACTTAACATGTATACATCCATGAAACTGTCACCACGATCAATATAATGAACATATGCATCAACCCCAAAAGTTTCCGAGTGCCCTTTTGTAACCCTACCCACCTGCCTGTTGCCCCCACCTCTTCTCCTCACCCCCACATCCCCAGGCAACTGCAGATCTCCTTTCTGTCCCTACAAAGGAGTTTGCATTTTCTAGAATTTTATAACAATGCAATCATACAGCATGTACTTTTTTTTTGGTATGGCTTCTTTCACTCAGCAGAATGATTTTAAGATTCACCCATGATTCACATATCATTAGTGTCTTTTCTTTTTAAGATTTTATTTATTATTTAAGAGAGAGCGCTTGCGCTCAAGAGAGAGCGTGAGCAGGGGGAGGGGGAGTGTGGGCAGAGGGAGTGGAAGAAGCAGGCTCCCCGCTAATAGGGAGCCCCATGTGGGGCTTGGTTCCAGGACCCTGAGATCATGACCTGAGCCAAAGGCAGATGCTTAACCGACTGAGTCACCCAGGCTCCCCTAGTTCCTTCCTTCTTATTACTGAATAGATTTCACCAACAGCTTTTCTAATGGCGGGGGGAGAAAGCTGGTCCTGTTGCAGGCCATTGGAGAATTGTCTTAGGTCCCCTGAGTAGTTCTGACTTTTCTGTACGAAGCCACTACGTGCAGAGCAGGTGCTTATTTGCCACTATGTTCTGAAAAGAAGGTATCAGTACACCTGTGTGTTTGTCCATCTTTGGGACCAACAATCCCCTACCATATTTTTATTAAAAAGCTGCAGAGGCAGTCCTGCTGGCAAACAGAAACGTGTGAAGCACTGGGATATATAACTGAGTGCCGATGGACTGGCAGATAAACCATTTTTATCATTCTTTTTTGTAACTCCTGCCAGATAAGCACAAATCACCTAGCAAAAACAATTTAGAAAAAACAATTTTGTTTACATGGCTTGGATCATATTCTACCAAAATCAAGATTAGTATTCAGGGTTAACAGGATGATTCCATCATGACATAGTTAAACATCACCTGGAACAGGGTTTGGTGAGGTCTACACAAATTAATTTTTCTTGCATATCCTTATTTTATTCCTTTGGACAAGCTAAGTGCATACAATTTAGGGTTGTTTTTTGTTTTTTTTTTAAGATTTTATTTATTTATTTGAGAGAGAGACAGACAGAGATAGCAACAGAGACAGTGAGAGAGCACAAGCAGGGAGGAGACAGAGAAGCAGGCTGCCCACTGAGCAGGGAGACTGATCCCAGGACTGAGATCATGACCTGAGCCAAAGGCAGATGCTTAACCAACTGAGCCACCCAGGCGCCCCACATAGTATTTCATACAGCTTTATATCTCACACCTGTAAAACCTTAAGTCCTTACCCCAAGGAGAAAGAGTATTTCAGATATTACTAAGCCCTAAAAATAATCACATGTGTTGATTAAAGTAATTCTATTATCAATTTGTATTAAGCTCAAACTAAATCCTTACTGCGTTAAGTCTATGGGAAGTGAAGCCTGCACACAGACAGGACTCTCTCTCCACACACCCATCTGCGCTGTTGGTGTGATGGTGTCAAGAGAGCACAAGGATTGAACTGGAAAGTGATGTGAGGATCTCACCCCTTCTCTGGGAACCTTTTTTTACCGAAGGGTTTTGGCCACTTCTAGAAGTAGGAAAAATGATAACTTTGGAATAACATGTTTTTAATGTTGCATAAATTCTTAAGATCAAATGTCCATATATTGGTTGCATCAACCCTTGCTCTTTTTTGGTTTCAGACCTCAGTCACCCTGGCCCTGGGCTTCTTCTTGCTCAAGTGCCCCCACAGGCATCTGTCAGGAACAAGTAAAGTAATGGCTCCACACTGAAAACTCCACCTGCAGAGTGTGGAAAGGCAGGGAAGTTAACCAAAGTTCTTCAGAATACGTGAAGATGATTAGTATTACTTGTGGAGCAGAACCCATTAATAATAATATCACAGAAACTAAGAAAACACAGATTGGCAAAAGTTACATCCAATGCATCTAGAACATTTGTAATCCTCTTCACCTCCTTGGATCCTTTGTTAAAAGTTTCCTTTTTAGGGCGCCTGGGTGGCTCAGTCGTTAACCGTCTGCCTTCGGCTCGGGTCATGGTCCCGGGGTCCTGGGATCGAGCCCCGCGTCGGGCTCCCTGCTCCGCGGGAGGCCTGCTTCTCCCTCTCCCACTCCCCCTGCTTGTATTCCTGCTCTCACTGTGTCTCTGTCAAATAAATAAATAAAATCTTTAAAAAAAAAAAAGTTTCTTTTTTAAATCTACATGACTTTGCAAAGAATGCAAAGTCCATACACCATCTGTTCTCTTTGTTCAACTTCTTGAAAAACTTCAGTTCTTCCATTCTGCTTCCTTCACAACAACAGGCAAGAGCCAAAATCTATGAAACCCCAGTTTAGGGAAGCCTGTAGCTCTACTTCAAACAAATGGTCCTTACTTGAAAGTAAATTCTATTAGTTAATGTGTCATTTTTGCCAAAACACCATATTTTCTATATTTTCTAACAATTTAAATTCCAGTTACATTGACACATTAACAGTAATTTTTTTTAAATCACTAGTAGTGGAATCATTTATTGAATACTTTTTTTTTAAGATTTTATTTATTTATTTGTCAGAGAGACAGCACAAGCAGGGGGAGTGACAGGCAGAGGGAGAGGGAGACTCACTGCTGAGCAAGGAGCTTGATGGGGACTTGATCCTAGGATCCTGGGATTGTGACCTGCTGAAGGCAGATGCTTAGCCGACTGAACCACCCAGGCATCCCTTATTGAATACTTTTATGTAACACCCAAAATATGCTTTCTTCATGTTTTGTCCCCATAACCTCAAAATTATAGTAAGGATTAATATATTGGGTTGAAAAAGCAACTTGACATACAGCTTATATTAAAAGATGTGATACTGAGGGGTGCCTGGGTGGCTCAGATGGTTAAGCGTCTGCCTTCGGCTCAGGTCATGATCCCAGGGTCCTGGGATCGAGCCCCGCATCAGGCTCCTGGCTCAGCGAGGAGCCTGCTTCTCCCTCTCCCTCTGCCTCTCGCCCTGCTCATGCTTTCTCTCTCTCTCTATATATATATACCTCTCTGTGTCTCAAATGAATAAATAAAACCTTTAAAAATAAATAAAACATAAATAAAAAAATTTTAAAAAGATGTGATACTGAATAGCCAGCTAAAAACTTAGTATGGCTTAATTCACATGCCATGTATCAGGAGTCAGTAAAAAAATCCACTAAAAACTATGTATTTTGTGTTACATATTAATAGAGGAAAATTTTTTGAAAACATGTCCAAATCATATAG